TTTTTCTATTATTCTATTGTCTACTTCCTTTATTGCTTTATATTATTTCCTTCCTTCTGTTAACTTTGGGCTTAGTTTGTTCTTCTTCTAATTCCTTGAAGTATAAAGTTAGGTTGTTTATTTAAGATTTTTTTTTTTAAATACATTATCACTATAAATTATCCTCTTAGAACTATTTTTACTGTATGCCATAGATTTTGTTAGGTTGTGTTTTTATTTACATTTATCTCAAGATATTTTCTAATTTTCCTTTTGGTTTCTTCTTTGACCCACTGGCCGTTCAGAAGTGTGCTCCAGGATTTCTGTTTGGTACTTTTCTGCATTTTCTATCTCTTTGTTGAAATTCTCACTTTGTTTATGCATTGTTCTTCTGACCTCATTGAGCATCTTTATGATGGTTGTTTTGAATTCTCTTGTTAGATAAATCATACATTTCCTTTTCATTAGGATTGGTTTCTGAAGATTCATCTTGTTCCTTTGGTACATAATTCCCTGTTTCTTCATTTTCTTTGACTCTTTTTGTTCGTATCTACATGTTAGGAAAAAAATAGCCACCTCTCCTAGTTTTTACAGACTGGCCTTATACCAGGGAAGACCCTCACCAACCAGCCTAGCAGAGATTCCGGCAGCCTCTCAAACATTCCTGCAAGTCTAAACCACCATCTTTGTTCTTAGCAGCTTCTAGGCATCTAGAGTATACTGGGTGCCATCAGTGTTCCAAGACAGATGAGATAGAAGCCAGTCCCTTGGGCAGCCCCCAGAAATGTTAGAATGTTGGACATGTGGTCTACCTGTTTCCCTCCGCAGGGAGAAGCTGGGATCCTGGGGTTAAACATTTGCTCTGCCCTGAGCCTTGGGGAGGAGCAATTGCTTATGTGCTTGTTCAAACTGTTGTCTCTGCTATTACTGGCTTCTAGATGTCTAGCGTATTCTAGGTTCCATCAGTGTTATAAAGCTGGCAAGACGGAAGCCAGCCCCTCAGGCAGCCCCTTTTTAAGAGTTGGAATGTTGGACATACAGGCCAACTTCTTCTTTTGTCAAGAGTAGCTGGGAGCTGTAGGTTTCCTTCCAATCATAATGGTACCTATCTAGGGGTACAGATTTGGTAAGAGGGTGTCTCCAGTAGTCCTGCCAGCTTCAGTGTGGCTAGTTATGTACTTGCCCAGGGTGTAGAAGCCCTCATCTAATTTCAGGATTTCTCACAAAGGGAATTTGTATCTGTTGTTGAATCAGTGTGTTCATGGAGAGGAGGATCTGGGGCTTTCCTGTCCTACCATCTTGCTGACGTCACCGTGTCACTTATTTTTCATAAATTAGAAAAATATAAATAAAATACTTATTTTGGAAACAAAATTATCTGGCTTTAATGGGTCTTTAAACTGTGTTTGGACATTATAGACTAACTCTGACACTCTTATGCTAATATTAAAGCAGATATTTCTAGTCCCTTGTTAATACTTTCAAGTTTGGAATACTTTCTAATCTGTTGGGGTAATTAATTTCTTCTATTTCTGTACATCAAATATTGCTTTAAAGATTCCTTTCAACTGTGTTACTTAGAGATTGAACAGGGAAATATTTTACTTGTCTTTTGATTAACACTTTTAGGCTACAAAAAATTAGATAAGTATGCTTTTGGTTTGTATAGCAGAAAAAGCTCATGTAGTTAGATAATTTGTGAATTTATAAAAGTCTATTGAAATGTTTATCTTCCAGTTTTCAGAATTTTTTGTTAGAGCCAGAATTCTTTGAAATCATTTTATGTTTTTATGAATTATTTTAGAAGAATATCTTACTTGCTTATCTCAGCTTGTATTTATGTTGTGAATGTGATTATCTGCTATTGAGTGACATTTTCCGGTAGGTGTTAGAATTCAGCATCAAATAATTATTTGTACGGATATACATATTACACATTTTACACATAAGCACACACATCTTGCACATTTATAGATACATTTCTATATATGTATAAACATGGATCATATATTTTTATCTGTTATATACATTTATCGTATATATTCCTGTTTATATACATGTATATCCATATCTGTCTAATAGGGTAAAGTACCTTGTATTCATTTTAACTCAGAATACTCAAAGATCTTAAAGAATTTTATTTCTTTAAATATTGAATGCATTTCACTTGAATTTCTTTTTTGTGTGTGTGTATGTTTTAGTTTGTTTGTTTGTTTGTTTGTTTTTCGAGACAGGGTCTTGCTCTGTTGCCTAGCCTAGAGTGCAGTGGCATCATCATAGCTCACTGCAACCTCAAACTCCTAGGCTCAAGCAATCCCCCTGCCTTAGCCTCTCGAATAGCTAAGACTACAGGTGTGCACAACCATGCCTGGCTAAATATTTTATTTTTATTTTTTTGTAGAGATGAGGTCTCACTGTGTTGCTAAGGCTGGTCACAAACTCCTGGCCTCACATGGTCCGCGAGCCTCAGCCTCCTAGAGTGCTAGGATTATAGGCATGGGCCACCATGCACAGCCTTACTTGAATTTCCAATTATTTTTTTCCTTTTATTTTCCCAACATTTAAAAATATTTTAGTGGTGTTTGTTAAGAGATGATGGCTTAATAGCATGGATGTTGACTAGCTATATCAGGATGCAGTGTTTTACATTTGCCTTTTTGGGTGTCACGACTATACTATTTTAGACCTTTTTGAGAGCACATTTTAGTAAATGGTGTAATTGTTTTTTTTTTTAGTTTTAATCAAAAATAAAATCAGTGGGAAATATAATCGCTTATTTTCCAGTTACTTCTTAATAGAAATAGTAAGTTAAGAAATGTAAATAAATTGAACA